TCATTCCTTTCTGGTTGGCAATCATAAGGTTTTCTGGTCCTGCCCATAGTGCGTGCTGGAGGTTGGTAGTGGTGCTCCACCGGTCTAAACTCTGGCTTCCTGTCGCTCCACCTTGGTTCATATCTAGAATGGGCAGCTCGGTTCATCTCATCTTCCTCCCATCTTATCTGGATGACGGCTCGGGCCAGAGCGTCTTCCATTGTGGTGCAGCCCAGTTTAGTTAGTTCTTTGTATAGTTCCCCATCCGGGAGGAGGCCTTTTCTGAAAGCGTCCACAGTAGTCTCGAGGTTACATGAGGGGATAGAGATCTTCTCTTTGTTGAATCTGCTAACATATTCTCTTAATGGCTCTCCCCTTCTTTGGTATATTCGGTACAAGTCGGCCAACAACTTCTCTAGTTTTTTGCTGTTGGCGACCTGTTCCACAAAGGTGTCGGTAAGTTGAGCAAATGAATCGACGGATCCGTTCGGGAGGTTAGTGTACCATTGAAGCGCGGGGCCGGACAAACTAGAACCGAAACTTTTGCACATGCAGGCCTCTTTGAGCGATCGGGGTATGGCGACTGTGAACATCCGCTGCTTGTACGAGGCTATGTGGTCATCTGGGTCGGTGGTAACGTCATATGGTTTCATGTTGGGGATGGTAAATTTCTGGGGCATGTCAGCCAGGGCGATCTCATCCATAAAGGGTGAATCGGCGTAACAATTGGGTCTGCTCTTCTTGGTTGGGATTGGCATTCCTGGAATGCGTCTCATTACTGCTTCAACGTCGGCCAGCCTCTTAGCCAGTATTTGTTCCATAGGGGAGGGGGATACTATCGGGTCATCCCATCTCACCGAGTCTGGTATATTTCGATGGGTCATCCCTCGGGGGGTGGTCTGATAAACCATTCCGTCGTGCACTACTTGGTAGCATTGGTCTTCGTTCATCCCTCCTGGTTGGATGACTCCCATCGTCACTGTCCTGTTATTCTTCCCTACATGAATGGTCAGAGGAGTCGTCTAGTAGTCGTTCGGTCCGTCGGGATGGATGGGCTCAAGTGTTGAAGTTGGTTTGGTTTGGCCGTTCAACCCGCGAGGGTGAGCCGGGCCGGATGGGGTTTGTGTTTGGGTTGACTGGAAGTGTAGTGGGATGGTGGGGATGGGCTGGTCCTGCGGACACGGGCTTTCTGTTGCTGGATCGTTTTGATTATGAGGCTGGGATGGGTCGGCTGGATGGTGTCCCGTTGGTATATCTTTATCTCCATTAGTTAGAACGGAGTAGTCAAGCGCCAGTGCGCTTAACTGACGCGGTCCTTTACCGGAATTCGAGGGCTGATGCTCTGGTGTAGAGAGAGGTTGCATGGATGAGATAGGGGCGCGGAATCGATTGGGGGGTGCTTGGTTGGGCAGAAACTCAAGATCGTAGAATTGACTTACTTTCTCCTTTAGCGCCTGGTTCTCAGCTCTGATGGAGGTGTTTTCGGCTTCCAGTGCGGCCACCTTGTCCGAGTTTTGTTGCATGAGAGCTGTCAAAGCCTCCAGTTTGGCCTCGAGGCCGGAGTTAACGTTGTCGGGATTGTCAGCCATGGAATGTTCCTCCACGTAGCAAGTTCCGTCGAGCTGAATGATTGCTAGAGGCCTGTACGGAACTTTTTATACAAATTTAGACATATAGATTGATTTTTTTAGGATGATTGGATAATTTTAACTAAATTGATATGATTTATATTTTTTTTTTCTTTTTTAATTAAAGTTTTTTATAAAAGGATTTTGTTTTTTTAAAACAAAAACAATTATTTGTGCAATATATTAAAAAGAAAAATATGTATTGACCTTTGTATTGATGTAGTTTGTAATTTCTCTTAGTCCACATTTTACACGATCGCTTGGCTTTTATTATTACTTCCTACCCAAGTTGGCAAATAAATAAGCGGGTCATCGTATTTATTTTTGAATAGTCATTAAGGGCTCGGTACAGGGCAGTTGTATAGCATTTAATTTCCTATACAAAATTTATCTTGTTTCACGATTTGTTGCGTCAGAGCGATAATTGTATATGCATAATATTTTAATTGATGTGATTAATTAGACATTAGCATCAGATTTATTAGAAGCAGTGAGTGATTTCTCAATTATAACTATGATGTTAAAACATAAGTAATCATATTAGTTGGTATTTGAAATTGGGATTCGAAGTTTATATATATAATATTATTGTTAGAAAAAAGAGTAATACTCATTTTATCAAATTACAGCTCAAAACTCTCATATTAAAATGGTATGTCATATTAGATAGTGTGATGTTAAAACATAAGTAGCTACCACCGTCGGCTGCCGGTTGGAGTCGTTGGAGGTCCCTAGAAATTGCGGAGTCACCGGAAGTTGCCGATATGACTATTTTTGGCCATCAATATGATCAGAAACGACCATATCTTTGACTCCCACAATTCTCAGCCACTCTTGATGACTTTCGACAGCTACGATTGGCAGTAGTTGGCCAACTGTTGATGGTGGTGGTTGGGTGGTAGTGACGGTCTATAATTTGTTTTAAATATAAGGGTATTATTGTCTAAAAACTTAATTAAACAAAGGTAAAATTATAATGGTAGATTAATGTAAATTGATTTTAAAACAAGAGCATTATTGTCCAAAAAATTTATTAATAAATATTAAAATTATAACAAAAATAAGATTATTAAGTAATTTTATAATACTTAAGAAAATAGAAATAATCAAATTACCTTCAATATTACTAACAGTAAATACTATTGGTATTAAAAGATTATCGAAATCTTATATTATTTGACAACCAAATGTGATAATCAAATAATGTAAGATGATATTATCTCAGTAAAATAACATTATCTCCCACCAAGTGCACTCTAATTGTAGTGTTAGAATCAAGAGCATGTACGATAGGACAAGAAATTAAGGTGTTCTGTTCAGATGGGTTTTTGCTTTTTAATGGAGTGGGGTGGACAACTAACTCAGATGTTAAGTTGGACATTGACATGGTTGTTGAAATAGTAATGGGATATGAGACGTGGGATGACGAGGGCACAATAAATCAATTTATGTAATATATATAGATACACACGTTAAGTTATGTGGGTGAGTTTGTATATTTAGTATTATTTATCTATTATTAATAATATTATATATACAAACTTCTCGTATAAATTTAAATTTATAAATTGATTTGTTTTAGAATAATCGTATAATTTTAAACTAAATTGATATGTTTTATATATTTTTTTATTGAATTTTTTTATAAAAAAATTTTGTTAAAAAAAATTATTTGTTCTATATATTGGAAAGAAAAAATATGCAATGAGTGTTATATTGAGTGAAATTATATATAATAATTTATGTAGTTTATAATTTCTTTTGGCCCACATTTTATAGATCGCTTTGCTTTTATTATTACTTTCTAACCAAGCTGACAAATAAGTAAGTGGGTCATCCTATTTATTCTTAAATAGTTATTAAGGGCTTGATATAGGGCAGTTGTATAGCATTTAATTTCCTATAGAAAATTTATCTTGCTTCACGATTTGTTGCGTTAGAGCAATAATTGTATATGCATAATATTTTAATTGATGTGATTAATTAGACATTAGTATCAGAATTATCAAAGCGTAAGAAATAAGTGAGTGATTTCTCAATTATAAGTGTGATGTTAAAACATAAGTAGCAATATTATTGTTAGAAAAAAGAGTAATACTCATTTTATCAAATTACAGCTCAAAACTCTCGTATTAAATTATATGTCATATTAGATAGTGTTGACCGGGCTATGGCAAAAAAAAAAAAAAAAAAAAAATTGTACTTGATTTTTGTGTTGAGTAAAGTTATAAATTATAATAATTTGTGTAGTTGTAATTTCTTTTAGTCAACATTTTACACAATCGCTTTGCTTTTATGACTACTTCCTACCCATATCGACAAAGAAACCAGTGGGCCAATGTAATTATTCCTCGATAGTTATTAAGGGCCCGCTATCAGGCAATGGCACTATCATTTGTAAGCCGGTTCCTTAGATTTGGAATCAGAATCAAAATGGGCAGTTTTGGTTTCTGACATATAAATTTCGGTTTCAATTCCAGATATTCAGGTTAATTTAAATTATCTTATATTTTTTTAAAAATGATAAATAAACCTTCTAAAAATTAGAAATACACTTTCAATGACTTATAAAAATTATAATTTACTCTCGATTTTTACTTGGGTATCTAGATCTCAGTTTCGGTTCTAGTTCTGGTTTTTGATTCTTGTAGGGATGGAATCGACACTAAAACTAGAATTGGAACTAGTAGGATCTTGATTTCTAGAATTGAAACATATCTTGTGAGGGTTAGTTTCGAATAGGATTCGGAGTTGAAACTCTAAGCATCAGCCATTTCTGGTTTCGATTCAGGTCAATTCTTTTGCACACTCCTATAAAAAATATGTCTTAAATAAAAGAATGTTTAGCGTCCTTTGTCTCCCGTCAACTGTTGGCATGAGACAAGTCAATTTTGCTAGTTAATGTAAATTGATTAAGAAGACAATTTAATCCTTGGTTTACTTTAATATTTACATAAAACTTACAACATATAAAAATAATTAATAATATTTTTAGAATACTTTATTATGTAACTATTTAAAAGTATTTCAAGTTATTATATTTTTCTTTCCTGTTTTAACAAAATAAATGAATCTAAGAAATAATTACTTAAATGCAAAAAAAATTTCACATTTAACAACAAAAAATATAAAAAAATTCAATTTTTAAAATAAAATATATTTCTAACATGAATGTGTCTCATTGAGGGAGAAAAATGAGTTTGAGCAGAGACAAGGACATGACAACTGTAAAAGGGCTGACAACTCTGGGGTTTGGTGAAAGGGAATACGAGTTTTTAACAAGGAGTGTAAATGTTAATTTTCCAAAACTCATGGACCTTAACGTCATATGGTTTTCCTGAAAAGTTGTATAAATCAGGCCTCGACGGTTGACAGAAGATGATTATTTTCAAAATGATGGGTCAAGAAGATGAACAAAAGGTGCTCTCTCTTTCTCTCTCTCTCGCGCATACATATATATATGTTAAATTCTCATAAAAGTTTTTGTTTTGATTAACTAAGATTATTATTATTATTATTATTATTATTTTGTGGAAATTGTAAAGGATACTGAATCTTGGTTTGATTGGAGCATAATGATATTAGGATAAAATTAAAGACTATTATAATATTTATGAAATATTTTATAAAATTTATGATATACATGTTGAGTCTTAGAATTCTTGGATCTGGGATTCAAGGGCTCTTTTCTTTTTAATTAAAAAAAAAATATTACTGCAACAATTTGTCTCACATGTTGAGTTTTTTTATTTTTTTTATTTATTTTACCTTAATATTGAGATTAGAGGATTGTATCAAAAATTATTTTTGAAATATATTAGCTATATGAGTTTTTAGAAGTATATTGAACCTATTTGATAGATTATTTGAAACATATTATTCTAAAAAAGCGTTTTAAATTGAGTTGAGTTAAAGTTTGATTAAATCGAATAGGATTAGAGTCTTAAAATGTGTTTAGTAAAACATCTGAAAATTATATTAGAGTTTTATAAAATGCTAAATAGTTATTTGGTATATTTTTTTAAAAAGTTTTTTAAGATAGAATAATTGTTTGATATAGTTTCTAAAAATGTTTAGATTATTTTTTTAACCTCTTATATTTTTTAATTTAGTTAAACACTCGTATAATAAAAGTTTAAAAATTAACTAAAACATTACAATCATCCAAAAAGATAGTCGATAGTCATCAGAATGACGTATGACCGATTAGATCCGATCGATATAACTGTTTTTAACCAAATCTACTGTATAATATATATTTCTTTAACTTCTTCAAAACCCACACAAATATATGTGTAAGAACTATCGGTATTTTTGGTTGAGGTGTTGAAAATCGAAGGATAAACAGAGTTGGCACGGGCTCGATATACTGAGTTAGTAGGGATTTATGCTTAGCCGCTGCAGATAGGTCATAGGTGCCAATCCCATGACAATATACTGACTACTGAGTTGGCAGGGGCTCGATGTTGGCTTGATATAGCGAGCTGGTTGGGCTTTATATATGCCTAGCTACTGTAGGTGGGTGTAATCACATCACATGAGATCTGCTCAAAACGGTTATCAACAAATTATGGTTATTTTTTTATTTATTTTTTTTAATTCCATAACAGCAAATTAATAGAATCGGATCCTTTACCCAGATATTGTTCAACCATTAAATTATCTATTATTTACTTAAAAACAAATTAATTCCTTCTTAATTTTTTTCTTCTATTTCTTAACAGCCAAAAGGTGAATCATCCCACGAGCCGACCCCTGCTCTGGTATTGTTTGATTAACAATTTTGTAGTTTATTATAAATTTACCATATATTAAAGTGAGAGTAGTCCTTTTTTTTTTTTTTTTTTTTCACTAACGATGAATGCTGTCAGGGACTCAGGGTTAGGCACTTACCAAAAGGTTCTCTACTTTTAAGATTCTTTCATCAAAATTAGAAAAAAAAAATTGTATTATTATTTAAGAAGTATTAATTAGATTTTTAAACCTTTAAATAATATTAATAAAAAATTATATTAATATTTTTCCAGTAAACTATACACAACCCTTTTTTCTCTCATTATAGAGTTTTATTCTCAAAAAGCAATAAAGAATTCTTTTTAAAGGATGCATCAAAATAAAAAATCAAATTATTTTAGATTATTTTCGGGACAGCCTTAAAGGTTTGAAAGAAAATTTTGATTTTCAATTTGTCTCAAGCAGCTAGAAAAACAACCAGAGGGTGACAAAGGAGCAGAAGAAAAGAAGCCAGAAAAAGCAGAGACAACAGAAGAAGACAAGGTCTAACATAACTTTATTTATTTATTCATATATTATAAAGTTCTATATCTGTTGAGCATCATTTTTTTTATTTTTTTTTAAATATGCTTAGATGAAAGAATTTTATTTTATTTTATTTGATAAATGTTTAACTTAGATTATATATGGTTCTTTTTTTCTTTTTTTGGGTGGAGGTAATTATATGGCTTAGTGAATCTTGATTTGATTGGAGAATGATGATATTTAGATGAAAGGATGCCAATTATAATTAAATTTATAACCTAAATGTTGAGTTTAGGTTGCATGTTGAGAAATATATATGATGAAAGTGAGAACTAATTTTGAAATGTACAGGATTATAAGATCTACCCTGGAAAGCTTGAAATTACATGGGGCGACAACCAAAGTTACTGGAGTTCACCAAATAAAACGTAAGAAAATCCCCCTTTCTCTAATTATTAAAATCCAATATATCTATGATCAGGGTATTGTGACTTATATTATTTATTTAATTTTTTGATATTCCTTATGAACTGTTAATTTTTATTGATTTAACAGTGAGAAGTAAAGTTAAAGGTAGTTATGACTTGGTAATTCAAGCATGGTTTATCAGAGTTTTCTTCTTACAGTAGTGTATAATATCTATAAATCTGAAAAGCCTGCATATTATTCACAGTAGTGTAAAATATCTATAAATCTGAAAAATCCTGCATATTATTCACTGTACAGGTCAAAAGAACCGGCAGAGCTATATAAGGTGAGTTGGCTTCAGGTAACCGGTAAAACAAAAGTAAAAAGGGGGAAGTCATATGAAATAGAGTTCAACATAACTTTGAAAGCTGACGGCTTTGGGTGGAATGGCCTCCCACTTTTTCTGATGGCTAAGATTGGGGCAAAGGGAAAATCCATATGGAAAAAGATTAAGCCACTGGAGCAGACTCCAAATGATAAGACATTTGATATTCCTAAGCCTGAAGAAAAGTTCATCGTTAAAATTCCAGATAATAAAGGTGACGAGGAACAGGACCTTTTCTTTGGTTTCTATGAAATTTGGAGTAACAAATGGAAGGGAGGATTGCTTATTAATTATGCAACTGTTAAAGAAGTAAGCGAACGGAATTAAGCTTTGTTTGTGCTTAGCAAAATGTTGCCAAATAATCGGAGACTAGAAGACAAAAAGATAAACTAGCATTTCGTGCACTGATAATGTTTGTTATATTCAGGGCTGTCTCAAGAATATTTGTGACCCTAGACAAGAGTTGCTTTAGGGGTCTTCTAATAATATAAGTAGATATTATAAAATTATTTCAAATTTATTTTTCTTGTCTTTTGAGATGCAAAATCACTAATTAAATTTTTATATTCAAGTTTAGAAACCAAATCTTTTTCAATTAATAATATAGCTAAATTACCTAATCTTTCTTATGACATAGTTGAACGCAAATAAGATTTTATTAACTTTAATTTTGAAAAACTTCTTTCTGCTGAAGCTATAGTGACAGGAATAGTTAACAGTATACTATAAGCTATCCATGCATTTGGAAAAGAATTTACATGTTTTTATAAAATCTAGTATTTCAAGTGGTGTTTTAATTTCTTTTAAAACTTTGAATTCTGTATATAAATCTAAACCATCAATATCAGAGAGCATGTCATGTTTTAAAAAGTTTTCAAGATTTAAACAATGTTTCTGCAAACTATCATCATCAAGCAATTTTAACTTTTCTATATTATAAATAAAACCAAAATTAGTACTATATATTTCAAATTGTTCAAACCTACTTTGAAGTGAGGAAATGCATGATCAACTAAATATGTGAAATAATTTATTCTAAAAGATTCTTCAGCAGACAATTTCATCTCTTCGTTTTCATTCTCATAAAATTGTTTTTTTCTCTTTATTATACTTTTTTCATGAAATTTTGGTTCTATATTCATTTGCTCTACAATCTCTTTAGTAGAAATCATAGAAGATGTAACCCTATTTTCTCTATATTTTTTTAAAAATGAAACAAGACCTTTCAACTGATCTGTTGCAACAACAATGTCAATATTTTTAGATTGTAAATATTTACTAACCATATTAACAGCAAATAACATTTCATACCAAATATTCATGCCTAATAGAAATTCAAAATTTTCAATCTCATACGTTACTAAAGAAATAGCTTCACTTTTTGTTTTAGGATCTTCACTAGTTTCTGCTAATTGATATAGAACATCTCTTATTTGTGGAGCTTGAAATTTTATTGCTTTAACACTTTCAATACGACTTTTCCAACGTGTTTGTGATAATGGCTTAAGTGTCAAATTAAAAACATGATCTTGCAAAATTTTCCATCGTTTTGTAGAAGAAGGAAATAATGCGTATATACGTTGTGTCACTCTAAAAAATGTAATAGCATTAACATATGAATTAGCCATATCACAAAGAACTAAATTAAGACTATGACAACCACATGGTGTATAAAATACTCTAGAATTTATATATAATAATCTTTTTTGCATACCTTGATGTTTACCTTTCATATTAGACCCATTATCATATCCTTGTCCTCTCACATTATTTACATCAAGTTCAAGATTTTTTAATATACTTGTGAGAACATTAAAAAGGCCTTGACTAGAAGTATCATCCACTTTTATAAAATCTATAAAGTACTCTTCTATTTTTATTGGACTTATTGAAATATCTACACATCTTAATATAAGTGACATTTGTTCTTGATGACTTGTATCTGGGATACAATCAAGTATAACTGAAAAATATTTTGATTCTTTGATTTTTTTTAATAATGGTATTTCTTATTTCTAATGGTAAAATATTTATCAACTCATTTTGTATATTATGACCAAGATAATGAGTATGAATTTCTCAATTTTGAATATGTCTAAGGTGTTCTTACATTATTGGAACAAACTCAGCAATCATTTCAATTAAACTAAAAAAATTTCCATTATTTTCTTGATAAATCTTCTCATTTGTACCACGAAATGCCAAATTATTTTTTGAAAGATTTTTTACGACTGCTATAATTCTTAATAGTACATTCTTCCAATACTCTTTCTCTTTATTTATTTTCTCTTGTAAATATTTATCAATTATTTTGTTTTTAAGCAATCTCATCTCAACATCAACCCAAATGTTCATATTTATAGCATGTTCATTGCTTATTTCATGACTTTTAAGCTCGACACTAAGATTTTTCCAATCTCCACACCCTTCATTTGCTAATTGAATTGTATTTGCTTTTAAACTAAATAATTTACAACAAAAACAGAATACTTTATTTAATTCTTTTGAATATACTAGCAATTTTCTATCATGTTTTTCTCCATTTGGTAATTTTCGAATGTAATGAATTGTAGAAAAGCGTCTAGAATTTTTATCTCTTGGAAAATCTAAAACTTGTCTAATTGGACCATTTTCAATTAATAAATCACATAAATTTGTGTCTAAATTATTCAAGTGTACCGGGTCATAAATATTTTTAATAGTTGTTTCATCTTCATCATTAATATTTTCATTTTTGTCGAATGGAATTTCTTCTTCTAAATTTTCATGAGACTCTTCACTAGTATTTGATGAATTTGAATTGTTATCTTTAAAAATTTCTTCACAATTTTCAATTGATTTTTCATTTAAATCTTCATTTGGTTTTTCTAGCATTTGGTGTTTTGTATTAATAACAAATTTATCAAGTGCACCTTTTTGGGATTGAATTAGTTCTTCTATTCTTTTTTTTCTTACGTTTTTCAAATCTAGATTCACACTTCCTAGTAGACATATATATTCAAAGAATAAATAATTTGAGCTCTTAATATTATTTTGCTAAAATAAAAATAATTATAAAAATTAAGAAGGAATTTTAGCACCTGATTTGTGCTCCTGATTTTGCTTTTGGCTGTACTAATACTAAAAAATCTTATATTATTACCCTATATAAAAATAATAATGTAAATCACTTGATCAAATATAAAGTAAAATCAGTTAACAATGCTAAGAGTAAAATAATTTAAAACTCTTAATATTACCTTGCATAAAAACAATAATATAAATCACATTCACTTCATAAATTCACGTAATAAAGATGAGAAAGGAGAGACAATAGATGAGAAAAGAGAGACAAGAGTCAACTGAGGTAGAATAATAAGATTAAAAGATGAGAAAACCTTAAATGAAATGAGCTTTATATAAGAGATAGTGATTCCAATTTGGGGGAGAGAGGAGATGCGATTTGACATTTGAGAGTTAGAGAGTTGCGTGAAAGTGTTTCATTTGCAACGGAAAAGTGAGTTGCCATTTGTGTTTTAAGTTTAAGAGATTGGCATGGCTGATTGGACGGATGGGAGAATTGATGGGAGTTGAAAAATTATAAATATATTAAAAAACTCTTAAAAAAATCATTTTAGATAGAGGTAAGCACAGGCGAGTAAACGGTGGGATGAATGAAAATTGAAAAAATTATAAATATATTAAAAAGTACTTTAAAATATAATTTTGGGGCCCCCTTTTTAACACCCTTTTTTGGGGGCCCTAGGCACCTAGGGGTTAAGCCGGGCCTGGTTATATTATGTGTTGTTTGCCAAACATATATTAATAAAGTCACGCTTGTTGCCAAAGTTTTCAAAAAGCTAGCTACATTGGTTAAATGGTTTGATAAATGGATGTTAAATGATAGTGAATGATATGACAATGTAAGAGTAGTATCACATCATTTTGTATGGATGAATTTATATAGATTTTTGTAAGTATAGTATTATAGATTAGAATAAAAATTCTATCAGAGATGAGAAAACTTTTACATGAATTTTGATAACTAATTCTTGAAGTCTAAATAGAGGGCTCATAACTGACAAAAATTATGGATATAGAGAATTTTTATCAGTCCCATATGATCATAATGCTTTGTTTTCATTGTATATATAATCTTTATTATATGGTTATAATGTTTAGATTTCATCTGTATGTTTAAAAAGTTGATGACTTATGTGAAAAAGGAATTTTATAAGCTTAATAGCTTAACTTTAGCTTACAAACCTCTTTTATATAGAAATTATACAAAGTAGAGTAAGTTTTTGATGAAACTAATGAACCATATGCTTCATAAATAAAGCCATAATAATTATGCACTCTTTAAAACCAATCCGATAATTTTACTGATTGATAACAAATCATTTGTCCTAAATAAAATGAGAGTGAGAAATGGATCGAAGAAAGTTGAGAATCTGATTTTTCCTTTTGGATAAAAATATTCATGTTGCTAATTATAAGAAACATTGATCATAGAATAGAGCTTTTTATGATTAATTAAGATATATGGGATTACTTTTCTGATAATGCGAAACTACTTTTGTGATTATGAATTATGATATTACAATTAATATAAAAATTACTTACCTCCCTACTTTTATTAGAAATTATTATTACAATTAATGTAAAATTATTACTTACCTCCCTTTAATCAAACTCTCCCCAAAACTATTTAAAGAATTCATCACTCACTAGTCACTATCCATTAATTAAAGAGAAACACTAGAGATACAAAGACTCTTACAAAGATTTTTTGTACAAAGTAATGTGGTAGTTGCTACACCATTAGTTTTATATCAATTTTCTCTTTTTTTTTTTCATAAACTAGTGGTGTGACAACTATCATATCACTTTGTATAAAGACTCTTTGTATATTTAGCATTTCTTTTAATTAAAAATCATCACTTAGATGTCAACTATCACCATTTTAGGGTAGTGAGTGATGAAGTCTTATATAATTTTGAGGGAAGCTTGATTAAAATAGTGATAGTTGACATCTAAGTGATGATTTCTAATAAAGTTTGGGAGGCAAGTGATTTTTATCCATTAATTAATTAATATTTTAGTGGAATAAATTACTAGCTAATTTATGTATAAAAAGAGAGCCATTAATTAGCCTCATATGATTATAATATTTTATTTTATTTTATTTTATTTTATTTTATTTTTGTGTTGTTGTTTCATCTATAATTGAGTTTGATTTCTAAAACAGTTTATAATTGTATATTTTAATTGATAATCTAACCAATACACTTAAAAAGGTTAATATATTATAATAAATGTAGTTCATGCTCAGCGACTCTAAACCTAATTGAACTCTAGTGTGGAGTGCTGTTAAATAAGTTTCACATTGTTTAATCGAGGGATAAATTGTGACGTTAAAATTAGACACAATATTTTACTCCCTTTTCTCTTCCTCTTTTCTAAGTGCTCTCACATTCACCCAAATATCTAATGCTGTCAAAACTCTG